TGACTGAATTCACTATCAGGCAAAGGGTGGGTAAACTAACCAGCAGGGCTGAAGTGTGCTCAGGAGATTAGTTAGTGAGGCATTAAAGCTCAAGAGCACTGGAGAAATGGGGGTCCAGGAAGGGTGGTTGTTCCTCAAGGGAGCGATCTTATGGGCACAGAAGGAGACAATCCCATTGCACATAGAAGGGGGTAAAGGGGCCAAGAAGCCCTCTTGGATAAACAGGAAAATCCAGGAAAGCCTAAGGGCAAAAAAAGAGGCATACAGGCTGTGGAACCTGGGTGGCTACCAAGAAGGAGTATACCTCCTTGGCTCGCATTTGCAGGGAATCAGTTAGGAAGGCCAAAGCAGGATTAGAACTTAGGCTGGCGACAAAAATTAAGGACAAAAAATCCTTCTTCAGTATATAGGGAGCAAAAGGAAGGCGCAGGGTAGTACAGGACCCCTACAAGACAAACTAGGGCAATTGGTTACAGAGAGGGGCAAAGCTGAGCTCTTCAGTTAGTTCTTTGCATGTGTACTCCTAGACACATACCAAGACAAATCTCCCAATTGGATCATAGATGGAAACAGGAGTGACACCAGCCCACCAACTGTTAGCAGACTTAGTGAAGGAGCACTTGGAGGGGCTGGATGTGTTCAAATCAGCAGGCCCGAATGAACTTCATCCAAGGGTGCTGAAAGAATTGGCTAGTGTCATTGCAGAACCACTGGCATGGCTGTTCAAGCACTCATGGTGTTCTGGTCAGGTCCCAGAAGACTAAAAAAGGGCCAATGTGGTCCCTATTTTCAGAAAGGGGAGGAGGGAGGAACCGGGAAACTATAGGCCACTTAGTCTCATCTCTATCCTTGGGAAAACTGGAAAAAATCATTAAGGATCACATTTGTGGGAGCCCAGCAGGAGAAATAATGCTGAAAGGAAATCAGCACGGATTCATTGCAGGTAGATCCTGCCTGACTAACCTTGTTTCTTTTTATGACCAGGTCACAAAATGCTGACACGCAGGAGTTGAGGTAGATGTCATCTGCCTAGACTTTAAGAAGGCCTTCAATACGATATCTCATTCTGTTCTCGTAAATAAACTGACAGGCTGCGATGTAGAGGATTACAGATGATGGTCAGGTGGGTGGCAAATTGGCTTAGGGGTCACACCCAGAGAGTGGTGGATGGGTCAATATCCACCTGAAAAGATGTGGGCAGTAGAGTCCCGCAAGGCTCGGTTCTTGGACTGGTGCTATTCAGTGTCTTCATCAGTGACTTGGACGAGGGCGTGGAGAGCACCCTGGCCAAGTTCACAGATGATACCAAATTATGGGGCAAAGTTAACACACCAGAGGGTAGGGAATGGATACAGACAGATCTGGACAGGTTGGAAAATGGGCAGAACGAAATAGGATGCAGTTCAACAAAGACAAGTGCAAAGTGCTGCACCTGTACAAAAAGAACCACCAACACACTTACAGGCTAGGGGATGACCTTCTCAGCAGCACAGCCGCAGAAAGGGATCTTGGAGTCATAGTTGACTCCAAGATAAACATGAGTCATCGATGTGACTGTGAAGAGGGACTAGCTATAAACAAAGGTGAGGGAACAAAAAATCAGTTTGCACCGGAAGAACACCATTTTCAGAGTAGCTGACCTTTAAGATAGGAAGACATGGGAAGGAGTGGAGTGGCGTGAGTGACACAAGAGAGCGGAGTGCGGGCTCAGAGATGGAGAGGTCCGGGGAGGTGGTTCTGTTTCTGGAGAAGGAGGATGTGCCCAGAAGTGGGAGTCTGGAGTCGCTGGATAAGTAGGGCAGCGTGCCGATCATTCGGGTATTAGAAGAAACAAAAAGGAGAATCGAAACTGCGAGAAGGAGGGAGCGGCAGATGCTTGTAGATCCCTTAAGGAGGGCAAGTTATTTCTTTTACGGTTTGAGTTTATTTGTTGCTGTTTTCGAGGGAGTTCAATTGGGACTGCCAGTGCCGCTGGGTGTATTAGGGAGAAGAAGAACCCAAGTTCATGCTGCTCCCACACCCAGGCAGGCAGGAGTCAAGGGTGCACGGAGGAGCTCCGCAGGCTAATACCTCTTCACAGAAATTTAAAGGAGAAGAAAACAATATACTGAAAGCATTACCCTGGTCAAAAAAAGAAAAAAAAAAGGTGGTTTTTTGTACATAGTTCTGGATTGAACTTTGACTTGTTGTGGCCATGTTGTTACGGTGATGTTAAAAACATGTAACTAAGAGCTTCCTGAAGGTAGAAACCAAAGTATGTAAAACAGTAGAAAGGAACAAAAGTTGTATTGAAGTTAATGAATGGTAGAAAAAAATAATAAAGAAATTTGATCGACCGTATATGAATTGTATTCCATCAAAACAAAAATGTGCTTGGACATGGTACGAGGGAACTCAAGTAGAAGGTATCACTAAGATACAAGTCTCGTCCTACTGTCGGCATCCTACTGTATAGAAAAAAACTCTAATTTTTTAACAAAAATTAGATTAAGACGTGGCAGGAGAAAATCGGTCTATAACGCAGAAGGACTAACATCCAGCAATTAGACACACAAAAAGAGAGGAAAAAAAAAAAAATCACACTCGTAAGGAGAAACCTCACAGTGACGAAGTGATCAACAAGGCTAACCGCACTTGATGAACAGGTCCAGGGAGGTGATGCTTCCCCTCTATGCAGCACTGGTCAGGCCACAGTTGGAGTACGGCGTCCAGTTTTGGGCACCACACTTCAAGAGGGATGCAGAGACTCTTGAGAGGGTTCAGAGGAGAGCTGCTCATATGGTCAGAGACCTTCAGGCAAGGCCCTACGAGTAGAGACTGAGGGACTTAGATCTCTTCAGCCTTCTCAAGAGAAGGCTGAGAGGTGATCTTGTGGCTGCGTATAAATTCATCAGGGGAGGGCAGCAGGGAGTAGGAGATGTTCTATTTACTAGGGCACCCCCTGGAGTAAGTAGGAACAATGGCCTCAAATTGCTTTCCTGCCCAGGGCAGGGGATTGCACTCAATGGCCTATCGGGGTCCCTTCTGACCACATCTATGAGTCTGAAGTGACATAGCACTCTAACATATGCAATATTTTGCAAAGAAATTTATCTCTGTCTCTATAAAGCTTAAGCCATTGCAATACAAATATAAAAACAGGAAAAAAAAGGAAACTGATGGATGCATGCAATCTCAAGTAATCATTGGAATGCAACATGCACTTCAGTTATTTTACTGAGACCTGATTCATGACCAGGGCTCCTACTATACTAGGTGCTACATAAACACACATAGCAAAAAAGGAGTTTAGAGTTCAATTGGTCAAAATTAGGTTGAGAGTATGTGACATTTGGTGCCACCTGGAATTATGAAATTGGCTTGTGGCCTCATTCTAAATCCTAGGAAACAGGTGGTTGCCACAGAACCTGCCGTCAAACTGGCACCCTTTTGGCAGTTGCAAAGAGTTAAAATCATAGATCTGAAACTACTATTACAGCCCCCAAGGAAGAACATGTCTGGAGAAGCTTATTTTGCCACAGATGCATAATGGCATAATGTATCATCCAATTTATTCAATAGGTCACTTTTCAGACTGCCTCATTCTTAAAGGATATATCAACCTTAAGGATTAACCTCATATAAAGTAACCCTATATAAAGTAACCTTAAAGGTTACTTATATTAATATGGGGTTCTCCATTCTTGTATGTAGGAAAGTCACATATGTATATTGTTAACTTTAGTAGCAACCATCAGATTGTGAATGCCATGTGAGATATTGTCATTTGTTTATAAGCATACTTCACAACCAATTACTTCTGACTCTCCCAAAACAGAGTCCTTGATGACAGCTGTGCATCAAACCTGGAATTTTTCCAAAAATAGGCACTGAGTTATCATCTCATACATTGAAACAAAAGCAAAAAAAGCACCGTCATAGTTGGATAAATCAGGAACACTTGAACAGATTGTCTTCTGAACCTTTAATACATTTTACTCTTTCTTGGTTGAGCGTTGTCATGTAGACTCAGAGGACAATTGTTTTGGAAAATTATGAGGCACTAAGTGGAAATACTTGACTTAAGCCTATGAACTATTTGTACGTGGACCTCCAACTGACAATAATGGGAGTTTCATACACAAAGACAATACCTGGATAGTGAAATGAAAGTGTTCTAGCATCCGTAACTACTTGGGATGCAAGAAGATAATTTCCTTAGAGTCCAAGGGGGTCAGATACAGGGAGCTACCAAGAACTTTCATTAAGAGCTACCAATAAAAAAAAAGTGACTTAAAATCAATACTAAACATCTTCCACAATGCCATTCAGTCAACATTTTTTCTGTGAATTCTTCTAATGGCAAAGTGACTTCTGCACCTAGTGAGCATTAAAGAAGCACTGAGAAGCACTGGAGAATCATCATGTAGTGTACAAGTCTGGACAGTATCATTCAAAGTCATTCAACATACAGAAGTTGTAATAGGTACCAAGAAAGGACCATACTTTTTCCTTTTCCTTTCCTTTTCCTAGCATCTCTCCCAGCTAGGAAAGTTGGGGGCCATTCTGAATTGTTCCTAGCAGTAGAAACCATCTCTGCATGCAGACAGCATCTTCCACTTTCTCATCAATGTTAAATAAACTATTTTCTAAATTGATAAAAATTATTCATTAGCTTCTGTAAAAATAAACTAAAACTGGGAACAACTCTAAATACCCTGATGTCCCTAGCAACACATTTCTCTATTCCAGACTCAAAAGACCTTTCAGCCATGTTAGACAGACTACCTAGCCATTTTTCTCACCCTAGATTTCATAAGAAATGTTTAACACAAAGAACTTCTTGTCTTTAGTGGGACTACATACAAAAATAGAATGCTCACAGATGTGAAAAACATTTATCCAATCTCATTCACAATTGTGCTGAACACAGATTGTACTTTCTGGCTCATTTCATTCAAGGAAGTACCCAGCGTAGAGATGATGCAGTAAGTATTCAAGGACTTTTTTCCATTGGCAGTTAAGTATCCATTTGTCAATTCTTTATTAAAACAAAACAAAAAGTGGCTATAAGTGAATTATGCCATGTACTCTTAGGAATGTGGGCCCCGTTATTTCATTTATACACATACAAATATGGATCAAGGCCACTAAAGTAAAAGGAGTTACACAGAAAGGAAGAAGCAGGCCTAGTGATTTTTAAGGTGCTATCCTTAAATTTTCTTACTAAATGAACAGTATTCTATTTCACAGAAGGCAGTGATTTATTATAGTTGTAAGAACTCTGGAAAAGTATATTTAATCCAGATTATACATGAAGAACACAGACAGTATTGAGCATTGTGAAGAATGGCAGGAACTAAATTTGTGGTATGCATGGTAATATCCTTAAGAGCTACCACAAGAAAATAAAAGCCTTCAAGGGTGAGCAAGGAGATTTTCTTTAGAAAAATGACTCTAGCCTAAAGATTGAAGAAGAGAAGTTCAAAACGAAAAAGTTCAGACAGACTACAAGGGTGGGGTAAAAAAGGAAAAACTTGGATCACCAGGAAGCCAGACAATGCTGGTAAACTTGCATAAACATAGGAGAGTAAGAGGAAGAAAAGAGAGGAGCACCTTTGGGAAGTGGTCATTGGTTTTTTTCAGAGAAGCTGGCTACCAAATGGGAGATGATAAAGATTACTCTTAGGAAAGGACGAGAAACCAAAAAACATCCACTGATCTGACAGCACTGTGGTGGTACGGGGGATTGCACTCCATGCTTCCAGAAGTGCATCAAGGGCAGGCGGAGTGGGGCAATACCTTGACAAAACCATTACTAATTAATTTGAGTGAAAAATTCTTCAGCATCACTGATGTCTGATGCTTGCAACCTTAATGTTCCTAGCAACACATATTCATCTATGCCTATCTCAAAAGGCCTTTCAGCCAGGTTAGAAAGACTATCCAGTCATTTTTCTCACTTTGAAATACCTCAAAAGTATGAGGTATTTTAGTTACAATGTAAACTAAAAAGGACTTTTCTAATTATCTTCCTCTATCACTCCATATTTACTTTTAGCTCAGAAAGGTTCCTGAAGTCACCGTTTCATGCTTAGTACCTTATCTTTCAGGGACTGCAAACAGTTGAATTTTTAATTCAGAAAAATATATAAAATTAAATTTGTAGCAGTTTGAGGTGTGGAGTTGTCTTCTCCCTCTTCCTACATGAATCAAAAGTTCTGGAGGACAGCTTTCTTTTTACTACTCTTTGCATGGTACCACACACCATCTGTGTGTGTCAGTCATGTTTGCTTGGCACACATGAAATAATATAATGAAGTACTCTAGGCAGCTATGGCAATTACTGCCCTCAGGTGATTAATGTCAATTAATTTTTGGTCTTATGCCAAAACATAATTTGAGTTATGCTAAGAGTCCCAAAATGCAGTTTATCACATCATAGTGGTTCATTCAAAATATTATTCTAATTATTTTCCTATATTAAAAAAGCCTAATGTAAAATGAAGCAGCCTATTTTCTCAATACTCTGTTGCAACCTGATCTTTTTAGTCTCTTGCTTTTCAACTAAATTGCTGTTGCTAGTCAACGTCACTAAAAAGTTGGGTGCACTTCTGCTGTTTTTTGAGCATGCAGCATAAAAAGAGAAGTGGGCCCCAAAACATTAGATAAATAATGCTGAAAGGCACAACATAAAACATAATGGAACTTTACAGGTGCTGTCTTGCCTATTTACTCTTTCTTATTGCAAATTATATACAAGCATAGAAATGAGGTTTAAACCCATAAAATTAATATTATAAGCAATAGGAACCTAAAAGCTGTTTAAGCCAATTCTCATTCATCCTCTAGGCACTTACTAAAAATGCTAGCACAATACTTAAGTTTGTATTTGACAAGGTAATATTTAGCAAAGGATTTGTTTACTGGCTAGTCTGCTTCCAAATAGCTCCAATCTTAAACTGATTAGCAATTGCTTTGTATATTCCATGTTTAAGTGTGCGTGCATACATTTACACACCAGAAAACTTCCTTTGGTGAAAAGCTTTTTTGCCAAGATTCACCTCAGTAAGATTAGACAGAGACTGGAAAGTAAAAAAAAATCCAACCATTTGAAGCACTTATAAATGGGTGTCTTTAGCTCACTGATTGTGTTTCACAAGCTGCTGTTGCCCTCTAGTGTCCAAGCATAGCTTCAAAATTCACCAACAGAAGTAGAATAATCTATCAAGTTTCCTAACAGCAATTTTCTATTTAGAATAGCGTGATAAAGAGAATGAAAGAGGAGATACTTTCTTTAGTAGGTGCATATAAAATATCTTCAGTCCAGTAACTAAGAGTTTTTAAAATACTTTGTTCCTCTCAGAGCAGAAGTCAAATTTCAACCTCTTTACACATAGCTGATCTGGTCACTGGATGTGTACAACTTCCTGCCATACTTCTATTGTTAGCATGCCAGCAGTCTGTCTGCTGTCTGGCTTAGGTTTAGTGTTCTGACTTCATGCTTACCTACATTAACTAAATACAGCCCTAGAGGATGCAGGATACTAAAGCAATTAACACAATCCTTCCCCCAAGAGTCTCATTACCACAGTAGACTTGCATGAAGTTTTTAGGACTATGATTAATTTAAATATATATTAAGCAGCTCAACTGGCAGAGGTTATATTGAAGACTTCACACAAATGTGAACTTTTGCAACAGACACAATCAACTTCAAGTTTAGTCAAACAGTTAAGAAACAAGAAGTCATTTAGTTTCTGTTTATTTGTAATTGTACAAACCCATTACCTGAAAAAGTTATTCCCATGTTCCTTGCTAAAACCCATATAAACAGAGGAAACAAATAAATTGACTGTAGAGAAAGGAACAGCCAAATTCACAATTTATTCCCAATTTATTAGTTATTTCCTGCCATTCTCTTTCATTTCTAGCAATTCAAGGTCTTAAGTAATATTATTATAATCAAAACACATTAAGACCTAAAACTGTGGAGGAGTTGGTCATTAATGCAATAAGATTCACTTAGAGAAGCATTTCAACAACTTTGTTTTGCCTACGGTACACAATGGAATTGCCTTTATCCGTGAACAATGACATTTCTTGCATACAGCTGTTATTAGAATTAAGAATGGGGCCTTTAAGATATTTATCCTGAGGCTATTTCTGTACCCTTCTGGCTAGGAATGTAAATATCATTTAAAAAAAATTATCCATTTAACTTCTGATTATATCAGTTAAATGGTTAACTGATAACACAGCTGCTGCTGGGAGCCACTCCCAGGGCCCTTGAGGGGGAGGAGGTGCACAGCTCAGGTGAAGCCCTTTGCTGGGAGGGAGGGAACACCTGCAAGCACCTAATTGCTTAATTGTCATTAGGCTGCCTACTGTTTTCTTCTTTAACCTCATAGGCTATGGGTACTATACCCCCCCACACCCCACCCCCTCCCTGTCCTGCCACCTTCTGATTCCTGCTAAGGCATCACATGGCTTCCCTTCCCTGCAGGACTGTGTCAAGGCCCATGCAAAACAGTAACTGGTAAAATAACTTCTTACCACTAGGCTTATTGGTTAAGTGATCAATCATTTAACCTTTCACATCTCTACTTGTGGCTCAATCTATATTCCCTCTCCTCCTTTCCCCCTTCCAAAATAACCAACACAAATACCCAACCACAAAACACCTTGTGGATAAGTCACATCCTATTTAAAAGAAAAAAAATACATATTTCTCCATAAGATTAGTGCTCGTCTCTCTGCTGAAATGTTTGTTATTATGTGCCTGTCAAGTCAATACTTAAGGAACTGGGTGTTCAGTCAGAAATAGAGTTTCTAGACTTAATGGTTGTTCAGTGGTTCATAATGAATTGTAATGTTTTACAATCTTCCCCTTCAGCCATAATAAAAATCAGAAGACACGTGTTTATTCATTTCTATTGATTGCAGGACACATCTCTGAGCTCAGTGAATGTCATGTAGTCACAGTTTTCCTTTAAACTTTCTTATTTACCTGGAAGTCTTAAGCAACCTCCCATTCTCTACTCTGATGGTGGCAACTCCATTGTCTCTATCACTTGCAATCAGAACTCTGTGCATGCTCTTTTCTTGTCGAGTCATAGCAATTTAGGAATGAGTTGGATTAGGGGAAAAAATCCTTTACATGGATATGCCAAGTCAATAGGTAGTGCTTTTGTTAGGAAGACACTTAACTATGGGTTTAGTAGGACAAAGGCTGCCTCTGTGACATGTACAAAAGTCACTAGAGAGCAGAGACTGACATCCCCAAAGGAAAGGCAGAAACAAGACTGTAGCTTACAAACTTGGCACATGGCTTACAACAATTGTGGCAATAGCCAGCTGTATGCGTGTTGAGGAATTGAAGACGCATATCATTACATGGTTTAACCTTTCTTTTCCTTGACTTTACGGCAGATATTATGTATATGGTAAACCTTACTTCTTTCACTGTGGTGTTTTGAACAGGAATTGATTTGAACTTAGAGATCCTTTTTAAGGCAAGAGGTAGCATAGTAGATAGTATTCAATTACAGTAGTATTTGCACCCAGATAGCTTTGTAGCAAACTATATTCAATACACTGTGCTGCTTGTGCAGCTTTTTTTGTTTACTACCTAACCTGGTTGCATGAAACATTATATTAATCTCCTGAAATGTCCTCTCTCTGAAGTGTGAGGTCTTCTCTGCCTAACTTGGATTTTATTAAATGATAAAATAAAACAAAACAAAACAAAAATAAACAACATTTCACCATAGTTCAATTAAGTGAGGTTTGTTTTTTTTTCTGGGAGATGAAAAACCCTGCAAAACCTCAGAACAGTAATTCCATACCCCTCTTACAGCAAAAAGAGAACACCTTCCCCAGAACCTCAATACTAGGTTTCAAAAACTCATTATCTTCAGCTGCTACAGAAGGCTACACTTACTAGTGATTTATTATTTCACTTTTCTAAGCAATCATACGTCAGCATACATTCCATTGATCAAGTAGTCTAGCCTGGTATAGCGCCTTCTCCAAAAAGATTCAGACATTCTTCTGCCTATTAGTGTAACAGCTAATAACAAGAACATCAACCCAAAAAATAAAGCTGTGATGAGGCTACTCTTTTCACCAAAATGAGAGACAGCACTGCTTTGTGAAACATCATCTGACAAGTAGCCTTCTAAAGCAAGTTCCCCCTTAGTTTGGTGTGTGTTTTGAAAAGAATCTGTGGATTCCTTACTGGGTAAAGTAACACCTGAAAAAGAAAAGAGACTGGAGATGCTATTGGCAGCAACAGAGGCAGTCTTTGGCTCTATTTTGGTAGCAGATGTCCCTAGCTGTGCAGACACTGTAGTAGTTTGAGGATTTTTGATCATGTGGTCAATTTTACCAAAAGCAGTAGCTGTAGCACTGGTATGGGTGGTACTAGGTTGGGAATAGGTAGTGGGAGTGGTACTAGTGGTGGCAGGGTCAGCAGGGGCAGTAGTATTGGTAGTGGTGGTAGTGCTAGGTGCAGCATGGGTAGTGGCAGTGGGGGTGTTAAGTTCAGCATGGGCAGTAGTAGCATTGGTAGGAGGCAACAGGTCAGTCATTTTTTCACTTGGAAAAGAATCTGAGTTCTTAGGAGCTTTCTTCCCCTGGTCTTGAGGAAACTGTGAGTGCAATTCAGTATTATCTAAATGTTCTACTTCATGGTCCATGAATTCAGACATCCGGGAAGTGATATATTGCTGCAGAGAGACAGTTGGATTCAGGAGTATTGCCTGAATTTGAGGAGCATTTTGTGTCTTCGCAAGCTTTTCTCCATTTGAGTCATCACGTGCAAAGTGCAAGTTCTTATTTGTGAAAGGATTTTTTTTCAGAATCTGTGAATCTAAAAACAGAAAGAAAAATAGAGATTAATTTTTTAATCCACTTTTGCAACCAGTTGCTTTCTCCCTAGTAAAGTATCCAAAAAAGTATCCTATAAAAATAGGCCTGCCCTAAAAACACAGCAAGGAATCTGCCCACAGCATCAAGACTTTGCATTTGCCTGAGACAGTGGCGGGCAAAATACAGCCTGAGGGCCCAGTGGGGCTGCTTGTGGCTGTGCCAGCGTGGGAAATTCAGGTAAGAAGGGGGGAGGACTGCAGGGATTGCCCAAGTCCTCAGGGTGGGGCTGGCCCCTGCTGAGCCCCACGGTCCGGCCATGCAGCTGCAAGCTGGTAGGCGGGTGGGAAAGTGGTGCTGGGGCCAGGGGTGAGTGGGAGTGTGGGGCCTGCGCTGGTGTCATGGGGCCAGCGGCAGTGGTGGGGCCCAGAGCAGGATGGTAGGAGTGTGGAGCACAGGCTGGCAGGGGTCTGTGGAACCAGGCTGGGCTGCATCAGCAGCGAGAAGGGGGAGCTACATAGAGCCCTTGCTGGTTGGGACCCTGCGCTCCTGCCACCCTGCTCTGGGCCCCACCTGCGCTCCCACCTGGCTGCTGCTGGCTCCTGCACACCTGCTCACTCCCAGTGCCCCCGCCCCAGCCCCGCAGTACAGGTGGGGAGCAGTGCATAGCCCCGACCCCTCGTTTGCCTGCGGGGAATAAGCTGGTGCTCAGCATGGGGAAAAAGCGGGTCCCCCCTCCCCATGCCTGGCACTTCCCGCTCCAGCTGCTTGCAGCCTGCATGGGGCTGTCCTGCCTCTCCACCGCATCACTGCTGCCCCATGGGGTAGCAGTGGCAATGGAGAGCAGGCACAGGCAGCTCTGCGCAAACTTGGAGTGGCTGCAGCATGGGGTGCCGGCCACGGGAAGGGGGAGTGGCCCCTTTTGCCCTGCACTGAGCACCAGCACGTTCCGGAGAAGCTGCTGCTCGGCTTGGCGCGGAGGGAAGTGCCCCCCCCACTCACTGCTGCTGGGTAATATTTGGTGCAGCCACCCACCTGGAGCCCGTGCCGCAATCAGCTGTGGTGCAGCTGCTTCACCACTGCCTCTGGGCTGCCCAGCGCAGCAGCACTGGGCATGTGGAGCAGCTGCTGGGCAGCCAAGAGGCAGAAGTGAAGCAACTGAACCACAGCCTAGCGCAGCATGGGCTCCAGGCAGGCAGCTGCAGCAAACACTGCCCGGTAGTGGCAAGGAGGGTGGCTGCTTTCCTCCATCCTGAGCAGCAGCTTCTGCCAACCTGCTGCTGCCACAGCTCAGCCCTGACGGGAGAGGCCAGAGCTGGCGCAGGGCTCAAGCTAGTAGCGGCAGTGGAGAACGAGCTGGTGCTCAACGTGGGGGAAAAGTGGCTGCTCCCCTTTCCTGTGGCCAGCACCCCATGCTGCAGCCACTTCGAGCCTGTGCACAGCTGTCTGTGCCTGCTCTATGTTGCTACCACTGCTCCGTGGGGTGGCAGTGATGCGGCAGAGGGGCAGGGAGCCGAGCATGGGGACGCAGAGCTGCTTTTCCCCCACACCCAGTACCAGCTTGTTTCCCACCAGTGAGCACGGGGTCAGGGCTGTGTGCTGGCCCCCACCTGTACCACGGGGCTGGGGCTGGGAGTGCGCAGGCATGAGGAAGCTAGCAGCAGCGAGGTGGGAGTGCGGGGCCCATGCTGGTGTCCCAGGGCAACTGCTGGCAGGGTCCAGAGCAGGGTAGCAGGAGCGTGGGGTCCTGGCCGGCAGGGGCTCTACGGAGCCAGGTCAGCTCCCCGCTCTCCCTGCTGGTGCAGTCCAGCCTGGCTCCACAGACCCCTGCCAGCCCATGCCCCATGCTCCTACCACCGTACTTTGGGCCTGGGACATTGGCGCAGGCCACGCGCTCCCACTCGCTTTCACTCCCCTGCTGCTTTCCCCACTTTCCTGCCCAGCCACTCTGCACTACATGGCTCCTATACCCATATCCATACCCACACACACATCCATCCCCAGAAACCCTCAGATGCAATCACTTCTGCATATACACCACAAACCAGGACAAAAATATTTTTAAAATTAAATTAAAATATATTATTATGGGTGTTTGATTTTTAGTATGTAATTTGTTTTTCCTCCCCTAAGAAGGCAAACCCTCTTCCCCAAAGGAGTACTTCCAGGGGCAAGAGGAGGGACTTCCAGTGGCAAAGGTCAGAGGTTGGGGCAGGACTTCCAGTCCCAAGATGGTGACCGGGGGCAGGGCACCTGTGAAGGGGCGGGGCTACCCACGCGACCCTTGACCACTTGCCAAAACTCAGTAAGCAGCCCTCCATCCAAAATAATTGCCCGCCCCAGGCCTAGGATCACTTTTTCAGAATGTTTAGCAATAAGTATGTTCACTTACAGTTGTCACATCACAAATCAACATGCCTTTAAGAAACCTAAAGGTGCTGGGCCCCGTTCTTAATGGCTTCCTATCTTGAGTAAGCATTCAATTCTGTGCATTCGTGGCTCTTTGTTACAGGAGTGTTTTGCCTATTTACTGTGAATGTTTAAACTACTATTCATAGGTTAAAGACAGTGAGAGGCCAATCACCTTGAAGTCATTCTTAGCTTTTGCCAACTAAGGAGCAGAAATTACTAAGTCATACTTGCATTTACCCATGCATTGAAAGTAATGATCACAGTGTCTGAGCACCATACAATTCTTTTTTATGTAAATTTTCCTTCATGTAGAAGAGTACTACAGACAGGGACTGGGAACACAAAGAGCCTATCTGCCCAGTCTTATAGAAAGCCTGTGGTGAGGCAGGGCTTAAACCAAGTCACCAAAATTCCAGATTAGTTCTCTAACCTGGAGGTTGGCAACCTTAACCTGTGGGATCCAGCCCTGACAGCTATTTCATTTGGCCTGCAGAGCCAAAGGGCTTCTGTGGCATTTCAACAGCAGGGGGCCACATGGCTTTACCCACATGGCAGCTGAGCAATGGGGAGAAGCAGTGATGGCAGCACTGCAGGGGAGGGGGCATGGAGAGTGGTGACTGCGGTGGCAGCAGCACGCATCAGGTTGGAGGCAGCATATGCTTGGAACTAAGCTCTGTTAAAGCAGCCCCTCCTGCTCCAATGATTAGGGCAGGGATTGGCAATGTTTTAGAAAACCCTCTCACTAGCACTGCTTGACCTCTACCTCACTCAGATTCTTTGCGTACTTGGTGTAATGTTCTTAGCTTTTACCATGCAAGTGAACTTGACTTAGAGGCAACTTTGAGGCTTCTGTTTATACACAGGGTGGAGAATTTAGTCTTTGTTCTCTGCAAGAGGAAGCAGGAATTCTGCTTTTTTTTAAAAACAAACTAAATCCCATTTCCCTCCCCTCCCCATGCTATCCAATTTACATCTCTCATGGATGTATCTGCCTAAATTAGTCTAGGCTTGCTATTTCAATAGCTTGTTTATATGGAAGAAATTCAAAAGCATTGGTATGTTAGATTGGTACTACAAGAAATCAAGGACTTCAATATTCTGCAAGACCATGTTGTACTAATGCATGGAATTAGTGGCAACACTGGTGGAAGACTTTTATTCTTCTGTGACATGGTAAAACACAAAACCTAGGTGCAGTCTGCTGTGACCGTGCTTGTCAGTGAGTGTATCAGATGGAGCGTGTCATGGATCCTCAGACCAACCATGTACCAATGAACAGACTAGGAGGATGTTCCTATCTCCCAGCCAGCAGGAGAGCTCCACAGAAACAGGAATCAATGTAAAGCCTCCTAATAACTTGCAACCAAGAGAAAAAATATCTTTTCCTTCAGCAGATAGGAAGAAATGAAAGAACAGATAACAAGTGTGACAAAAGGTACCAGTGGGAAACATTATAAGGGGAAGTGGAACAAGAGAGTTCTTAGAAGCAAGCAGTGAGGTTCACCATTAAAAAAAAAATTATATTTGCCCTTCAAGTTCAACTGAATAAGGATTTAAGCAGCGCAATGCACAGCTGCAATATTGGAATTACTAACTAAAATTCGGTAGCAAGAGACAGACATGCTGCATGACAAAAAGTGACACTCACTTTCCTGCCCACTATTTCATTATGTTAAGATATTATATAGACCCAACAGGGAAAAAAACAACTTAACAATCAGCTGAGTAATAGTTCTTGGAAAGATTAAATAACTGGCAGAGTTTGTGTATTCTCATCAGCCAACAGGGATCTGGATTTATAGAAGGTATGGTGCCTCACCCTTGCCTCACTTCTAGGTTAAACAGGATAAGAATATACTTGAGCTCCCAAGCAAATACCACCCATACACATATAAAAGCCCATAAACCAAAATCTATCCACATGCCCAAGACTTGTATAACCTAGAATTCATGGTGAAATATTCCAGCACATCAACCAAAAAACCTCTTAAGAAAAACTGTTTTCTGAAAGAGAGCTACAGCAGCAATGAAAATGCCACAAAGATTCCTTTTGACAAAAGCCATTAAAATGTGGAAATGTGTGGCGAATGTCACCCAGATAACCTTAATTAACCTCAACACAGATAAAGAGACAAACAAATTGATCTCCAGATTTACGAATGATCATAAGTGACCCCGATTTAAAAAAAAAAAAAAAAAAAGATTAAAAAAACTATGCATGAAGGTCACATTTCTTCCTCCACCCCCTCGCCCCTCCCCCACCATGATTTTGACTTACAGCATCTCTGCAAAACTAACAAACTCAGAACTAGGCAGTCGCCTGACTCATTCACCACCGACGTAGTTCAGGATACAAACTCAAGCTGGTGTACCACTCCCTTATCAGCAAACGGAGGTATTTTCCTGTCTGTTCTCTTGCAGACGGATATCAACTGAGCACATGGAGAATTTAGAACCAATTTAGATTCCATTTGTCTACCTTAAAAATTAATACACATATGGACATATTTAAAGTTTTATTTTAAAGGCTCTGCCATTCATAAAACAACAGCTACTTCCATAGCCCCATGGTTTCTGTGGGTCATAAGGAAA